AAAATGTTATGATAACTCAGAGAAAAAAATGTGACAATGAGTGTGTATATGTCCATGAGTGACTAAAAAATTGTGCTGAACACTGGAATTTGACACAACATTGTAAAATGATTATAAATCAATAAAAAATGTTAAAAAAAAAAACAGCATTGGGCATTGAGGACTGGAGAGTCCAGGAGCAGAGGGAACAAGAGAGGGACAAGGACAACTGTGCGGGTGGACAGAGTATGGAAGGCGAAGGTCAGAGACAGGCATGCCGGCAGAAGGGTGACCAAATGGTGCTCAATAGGCTACAGATCCCAGCAACGAGGAGGAGCAAGTCCAGCTGTGGCTGCCTGCTCATACTGGCTCCTACAGTGCAGGGGAAGGAACGGGTCACTGGGAGAGCCGGGGCTCCGGGAGGGGCTGTGCCCACAGAGCCATCTGGGTCCAGTTAAGCAAGGACAGCTGAGAGCACCGTGTGCATATGGAAGTGTGAGGGAGACAATGGCCACTGACTGATATCCCCAGTTTGCCCCAACACTTTCCTCTTGTGCTACACCAAGAAAAAGGTGCACATGGCTCCTGTCCTCCTGAGACCTACACACACACCCGTCGACCCTGTCATGGGATACCTTGTGCACTCTCCTTCCTCTGGAGAGACACAGTGCCCTCTGAGCATAAGGCTCCAAACAGAGGTACATTAAGAGTCATCCCGGCCTCAACTCCAGCCTCTGGAGACACGGCCCCTTCTCAAGACCTCTCAGCTCTGCTGGCCCGACTGGCTCCTCCTCCCTTAAGTCCTTCCGGGCCAGCAGGGTGGCCACAGTCACCAGCTCTTCCCAGAACACACTACTTAGCGGCCCCTGGTCCTGTGCCCACCCCACGCTCAGCCTGTGTTGCCCAATGTTAAGGCCTGTGGGTCCAGCACTTCCTCACCAAGTCAAAGCCCAATGAATACGGACATGGTTGAGCTAACAGACAAGACAGACAGGTGTGGCACTTACAGAGTGTACGATGTCCACCATGTCGTAGGCTTTGGTAGATTCCAAAGGGACAATTGTATCAAGCTCAGGAACCAGACGGTCACTTTAGATAGAAAAAGAAGCAGATATAATCAACATGGAAGAGGCCGCTGCCTTCTGTGGGTGGGGGAGGGAGAGGAAGTGGGGGAGACACATCATGGAGGCTGGACTGATTCTGTCCCTGCTGGGCTTGTGAAGTGGTCCCCAAAGAAACAATCCTTTGTTACCCCCATATCAAAATGAACCCGAGCTTGATAGTAACCCAGATCATTTAGAGAGGGGAAAAAAAGAGCTTATTCCTCTGAATGTGATTCCTTCATTTTTCCTCTCTGAGTACCTCCTGCATTCTAGGTACTGTGTGGGGCACTAAAGGACACTGCAGAGAACAAGACACTGCCCCATCAAACCCAGCTTCCCAGAGAGCTCTGCACCAGGGTACTGGGCACAGTCCTGCCCAATAACAAAGTCCTCCCTTACTTTTCAGTTGCTATTTACACATATGCATATTGCTTCCTGGGATTGAGTGGAGAGGCGGTATAGCCAGGCCAAAGCAGGCTTTTCAGACATGTCTGGGTCTGGGTCCCTGGGCCATAACACCTTCAAATGATGTCCTAAACCTTTCAAGAACCTCAAATAATACAGATGCTGGGAATAGGAGACTGTGCCCCCTGCTTCTGGGCCTGGTGACCATCCCCCCTTTCATGATTATACTGGCTGTATCCCAAGAAGTGAGGCAGAGGCAGAGAGGGAGGGGCCCTGGGGACAGGACTCTTCAGAGCATCCCTGGCACAGACCCAGCCCCACAGTTAGGAGTCCAGGTCCAACCAACAGGACACCGTCGGAAAACGGCTTCATCCCAGGCCAACTGAGTGCTTCAAAATCAGAGAGGCAACAAAATGGAGAAGAAAGGAGCCAGAAGTCTGGAGCAATGGTTCCCCAGCTGGGCTTCTGGCTTACTGTCCGGTGCCCCTGACATCAGCCAGAGGCCCGAACAGCAAGAAGGAGAGAAGGTCTCCATCAGGTGGCCAGCAACACATCCTTCGGAGGACTGCCCCGGATTCTGGTCACAAGCAGGCGGGCATTTCCTAAAGGGCACCCTGTCTGCACCATTTCATGTTGATTTCTTTCATGTAAAGGCAAAAAAAAATCTATCTCAATTCTGGACAAATCAAGACTCTTAGAAATAATTTTTTTGGCCACTTTCTACTCCCAAGCTACTTATCAGTTATTACAGAGAGGAAAAAAGTAAATAAAATTAAAATCTCTCTGAGATCCTATGCCAGACATGCCACCCACCATGCCTACACCTGATTCCACTCCACAGTCTACTCCAAGGCGCCCACAGGGCAGATGCGCCAGAGAAGGACCAGCCAACCTGCAAAAGCAGAGGAAGGAGCTCCGCCTGCTACTCACCTGGGATCATGGCACTCACGGATGGGAGCCGGGTCCTGACTGCTGAGAGGCAGGTAGTTGAAGAACTCCCGGAGATTGCACAAGGCGTCAATGTCATTTTCAAAAGCTCTGTGGGCCACACCTGAGAAGACAGAGAGGCTACAGTGGGCCAGGGCACCTGTCAGCCCAGAGACGCAGCTTCCTGCCCACCTGCACTTTCAAGGACATCTGCGGCAGTCTGTGCTGACAGCCCTGTCGTCCCCACCCTCCGCTGAGGACAGGAGGCCACACCACCCACCTTCAGGCTGATCCTCAGCTCATGCAGCCTGTTCCCTCTGCTCTGTACCCAGACCTCTGCAAGGGTCACTCCTGTCTTTACTCACATATTTGCCCTAATGTCACCTACTCAGAGAGGCTTTCCCTGGCCCCCTCCAGAACACAACCTTCCCCCCACTTCCCACCCCTGGGCCATGTGGAAGTTCCTGTCACATGTTTCCCTGCAGCACCGACTTCCCTGTTTACTGCCTGACATCTCCCCGAGAATGTCCGCTCCAACAGGGTGGAGACCAGGCCCGCCTCACCACTGCAGCCCCGCATCAAGAGCAATGCCTGGTTGGTGTCCATTCTCTCTCAATAAAGCTAGACAATAAAAAGGAGAACAATGTCGGCATGTGTCATGGTCACCGTCAGCAACAGTGGAAGGGAAGGAAGGAAGGGAACCACGTGGCCCCAGAGAGGACTCAAGCCATCCTTCCTCAGGAACACTTGGAGACCACGGAGCAGCCAAACAAAGCCACGGACATGAAAGTGCGGCCAGAAACCCTCTCAGGTTCACCCTCCAGACTCCCTGCCTCTACCGCTGCGCCCAGAGTCTCTTCTGCACACAGCAGCCAAAGGGAGCTTTTCAAGTCAGATCACTCACGTCGCTACTCGGCCACCCTCCCTGCACCGGGCAGGGCTGCTCCCCTTCCTCAGGGCCTCTGCAGAGCCCACTCCCTCTCCTACACGGCCCTGCAGTTCACGCCTGCAAAGCTGCTCAACAGGTACCCTCACAATGAGGCCCGCCCTCACCACCCTACTCAGAACTGCCACAATCCCAGCCCTTTTACCCTGTTCTTTTTCCACAGTACCGATTACCTTAACATACTATATAATGTCCTCAGTTACACGGTTTATTGTCTATCTTCTCTGCTAGAATACAAGTCTCATGCAGGCAGAGACCTTTTCTTCACAAATATACTCCTAGCAAGTAGAACAATACTTGACTCATAGGTACTCAATGAGTATTTGCTGGATAAATAAAAAGCATGTTCAACATGACAGAAATTCTTTCAAGAAATATCTAGACTCACAGACATAAAACAAACTTATGGTCACAGGCGGGAAAGGGGGTGGCAAGGGATAAACTGGGAGTTCTAGATTTGCAGATACTAATATGCATAAAATAGATAAACAACAACTTCATACTGTATAGCACAGGGAACTACATCCAACAGCTTACAGTAACTTATGGTGAAAATGAACATATGTATGTTCCTATGACTGAAGCATTGTGCTGTACACAAGAAATTGACACAATATTGTAAACTGACTATACTTCAATTAAAAATAAAAAAGAAATATTTATAAATTGGTACAGAGACTTTGGAGGACAGCATGGCAGTTCCTCAAATAGTTATCATTTGACCCAGAAATTCTACTCCGAGGTATATACTCAAGGGACACAGAAACACATGCCCAAACAAAAACTTGTACATGAATGTTTATAGCAGCATATTCATGACACCCAAAAAGTGGAAATAATTCAAACGCTTATTAAATTATCAATAAACAAAATGAGGTATATCCATACACTGAAATATTATCGAGCAGTAAAAAGGAATGATGTACTGATTCTTGCTGCAACAGGAAAACATGCCATAACCTTAAAAATATTATGCTAAGTAAAAGAACCTGTTGCAAAAGACCACATATTGTATGTGTCCATTTATGTCCGTTCCATATATATCCAGAAGACAAATCCACTGAAACAAAGTAGATTAGTGGCAGCCTAGAGCTAGAGTATTTGGGGGCAAATATATATATGTATATAGAGTATTTGGAGTGATGAAAATGTCTTAAAGGTGATGGTAGTGATAATTAAATAACACTGAATATATTAAAACCACTGACTTGTATACTTTAAATGGGTATTTCACATATATAGTATGTGAATTATATATCTCAATAAATCTGTTACCAAAAAATAAATATTTAGGTATGTACATAGAGCATCTTTCGGGTCTTGCTCTGGGGATACAGGGCTAAGTACATCAGACATGGCCCATCAAAGAGCCTCTGATTCAGAAAGAACACCAAATGCTGCCTGTAAAACTAAAATTATGGTGCAGAAAATGTAACATTACGAACAGCCGTTCATTACTTCTAAGTTGTCAAGTGAATACAGGCCACAAAAGCATATTATGCCCCTACTTTTGAGTATATGTATGCATACGCACACCCACCTGCATGAAAAGGCTGCAGATAAACAAAACGTGTTGGTGACTCTCTGTGAGTGCTAGAACTCCTAGTGATTTTTACTCCTGTATTTTCTAAATTGTTTCCCACAAACATGTGATACGATGGAAATCAGGAAAAAAAAAGGCATATTTCATCAAATCTAAGACGCCATCAAGACTCAACATTATTCTATACTCCAGTAAGAAAAGAAAAAAAAAGCTGCTGCCAATTCCGCCCTGAGAAGAGAGCGTCATGACAAGCTGTGCTGGAGAGAGCGCTGAACGGAGCTGGCGGGTGAGGGGAAGGAGTGTGTCAAGGCTGACCCCAACCCACGATGGGAGAGGACCAAATTCTGTGGGCAGGGGATTGAGAGCTCTGACTCAGTCTTAAAAAAAAAACATATCTCATCAAATGTAAGACTTCACTGATGTTAAGACCTCGATTACATGTGCACTAAGAAAGAAACGCTGATAATTAAATGATGGCCCGATGCCTTAACCACAGTACAACGTGGTGCACAAATGTCACACCAGCCTCTCGCTGCTTTGAAATCTGTCAAAGAGGCAATTCCTTCTGTCTTCAGTTACACTGCTTGCAGTGTGGTAGGCAATCCTTTCAGAACTTGCGATCTTTTTCCAAGAAAATATGGAATTCCAATCATGATTCCAACAATAAGTGTCTTCACTAACATCAGATTCAGACCCTGCTCCCAATTCCATGCCTCTCTGTATAAACAGGATCTTTCTGTGTTGATGCCAAAGCACAGAATAACTTTTACACATGCTGAACTCAGCATGTGTGACACAAACCTCATAGAGATGAAAAGCTATGACCAGGCTTGTGAACACGTGCGCCTACACGTCACAACTGTACCTGACTAATGGTGGTTGGTAAAATGCCATCTACTCTAAGACACACCCCAACTTTGGAGTAAAAGAAAGCCACAATAAAATGCAACATTTTTAAAGTTCAACTTCACATATATAAATCATAATTCTTAAAACCATCATTCTACTTAGCTCAGAAATTTCAAAGACTACCAAAGCATTAATAGTAATCTGTTATTGAACGAGTTTGAGATATAAATCCACCTTTACTACTATATCTGTAGTCAATACACCATACTACCACGTTCTCAAATAAATTGTCAATTAAGTGACATTTTTAACATGGTCAGCTTCATCTCTGGCAACGCCTCTTCTCAGAGTCTGACAACAGGAACGTGAGCCCAAGGCCTCTCACCTGACATGGTGGTGTGGGTCTTGGCACCACCGAGCTCCTCCTGGGTAACGTCCTCATTGGTGACAGACTTCACGACATCAGGGCCAGTGATGAACAAGTAGGAGGTGTCCTGAAACCAGAGAATTCCAGAAGGTTCGACCTCAGAGCACCAGAACTCAACGGAGCCTCAGAGTTCACAGAGCCAAGATGACAAATGCGGAGAAGGTAGTGATGCTGTGGGAAACCAGGTTAGACGCAGCTCACAGAAGCCGACCCAAACTGAAGACCCAAGTTTTCCCTGCCTCACTGTCTATTAAAAAAATCTTTGCTGCCTGGTTCTTTCTCAGCGATATGACCTGAGGCGTGACTAACATTTCACCTAACAGGTGGTCCTTATTCAGAGCCTGCTGTGGACCAAGAATTTTTCTAAGCACTGCATGGGATTGCATCATTAAAGCTGAGGTACTGTTCTCACCCTGAGGACACCAGGGCACTGTAATGGTATGAAGCTTGCCTAAAATTAACCAGCTGCTGTAAGTGAAGCCATCTGGAGACAATGATAAATCAGTGCTTTGGTGTTTTGAGAGGATGAGAGGCTTTTAATTTTAAGCTTCTAACGTAAAGATAATAAAAACATACTGTAAAAATTTTAAACAGAATAGGGACATACAATAGAAAGTAAGTTTACATGCCAGCCCTTATTTCCAGGTCTCCAATTTCCCTCCCCCAAAGGCAACCACTGTCAGTTTCTCTCCCCTCACAAAGACATCCATGCATATATGAGCATTCATATATATTTTTCCCCTCTTATTTTCACTCCAGCACAGTGTCCTACACACACTTCTAAAACATCTTGAAGATCATTCCACATCGGTATAGTAAGATATGTATCCCAATTTATTTAACTGTCACCTGCTGATGGTCTTTTAGGTTGTGTCCAGTACAAAAAACTGAAGAGGAGGGAATACCTCCTAATTCATTCTATGAGACCCAGCATTACCTTAATACCGAAGCCAGAGAACTACAGATCAATATCTCATATAAATACTAATGCAAAAATCCTCAACAAAATACTAGCAGACCTAGCATTTTAAAAGGAAAAATCAAGAGGAATATTTTTCCTGAAATGCAAGAATGCTTCAGCACACAAATATCAATGTAATATGCCACATTAAAAGAACAAAGGGGAAAAATTACATGGTCATCTCAATTAATGCAGAAAAAGCATTTGACAAAATTCAACACCATTTCATTATAAAAAATACTCAGAAAACTGGAAAGAAACTACTTTAACATGATTAAGGCCATAAATGAAAAACCTACAGCTAACATTATAGTCAGTGGTGAAAGACTGGAAGCTTTTTCTCTAAGATGAGCTACAAGGCAAGGATGCTCGTTTTCTCCACTTCTATTCAACATTGTACTGGAAATCCTAGCTAAAGCAATTAGTCAAGAAAAAGAAAAAGGCATCCATTTCAGAAAGAAAGAAGTAAACTGTTTGCAGATGACGTGGATTTTATATGTAGAAAACCCTTAAGATTACACACACACTCAAGCTAGAATAAACAAATTAAGTTGCAAGATATAAAATTAACACACCAAAATCAGTTTTATTTATGTACAGTAACGATGAACAATCTGAAAAGGAAGTTACAAAAACAATTTCATTTACACTAGCTTCTAAAAGAATAAAGTACTTAGGAATAACTTAGCCAAAAAGGCAAAAAAAACCTGCACAATAAAAATTATAAAACATTGCTGAAAGAAATTAAAGAAGACATAAATAAATGGAAAGACACCCCTATTCATGGATTGAATGACTCAATACTATTAAGATGTCAAACTACCAGAAGCAATATACAGATTCAATTTCACAAAACCCTATCAAAATCCCCATGACACTTTTTTGCAGAAATAGAAAACTCCATCCTAAAATTCACGTGGAATATCAAGAAGCTGTACAACCAAAACAATTTTTGAAAAAAAAAAAAGAAAAAAACCAAAGTGGAGGTCTCACACTCCTGATTTCAACACCTACTACAAAGCAACAGAAATTAAAAGTCTGGTACTGGCATAAAGACAGATACACAGACCGATGGAACAGAATAGAGAACCCAGCAGTAAACCCTCCCATTGTTGGTCAAATGGTTTTCAACAATGACACCTAGAACATTCAGTGGGGAAAGAACTGTCTTTTCAACAAATGGTGCTTGGAAAACTGGATATCCACATGCACAAACATGAAGTTGGGACTTAGGTTATACCAAATACAAAATTAACTCAAAATGGATCAAAGGTCTAAACATAAGAGCAAGCTAAAACTATAAAACTTAGAAGAAAACTTAGGGTAAAAGTCTTGTGACACTGAGGGGAAAAGTCCTGTGACACTGGATTCGGCAAGATTTCTTGGGTATGACAATAAAAGCTGAGACAACAAAAGTCGACAAACTAGACTTCATCAAAATTAAAATCTTCTGTGCAAAACAAAAAACACTAACAGAAGGAAAAGGCAGCCCACAGAACAGGAGAAAATATTTTCAAACCATATATGTCTGTTAAGTGGTTTAAGTGGTTAATATCAGAATATATGAAGAACTGTAACAAGTCAATAACAACAAAAATATTCAATCAAAAAATGGACAGAAGATCTGTATAGACATGTCTCCAAAAATATATATATATCAATGGCAAATAATACGAAAAGAGGCTCACCACCATTAATCATTTGGGAAATATAAATGAAAACCACAATGAGATACCACTTCATACGCACTAAGATAGATATTATCAAAACAGAAACAAGTCCTGGTGGGGATGTAGAGAAATTAGAACCCTTAGTACTGCTGGTGGAAATGTAAAATGGTGCAGTCACTGTGGAAAACAGTATGATGTCTCCTCAAAAACTAAAACAGAATTACCATATTACCCAGAAACTCTACTCTCTAAGGTGTATGCTCAAAAGAACAGAAAACAGGGTTTCAAACAGGTATGTGTAACACCAATGTTTACTACAGCGTTAGTCACAATAGCCAAAAGGTGGAAACAACTCAAGTGTTCATTGGCAGATGAATGGATAAACAAAATGTAGATTTACAAACAAAGGATTATTAGCTAGCCTTAAAAAGGAAGGCAATTTGACATGCTATCATATGGATGAAACTTAAAGACACTATGCTAACTAAAATAAGTCAGTCACAGATGGACAAATGTACGAGCCCACAAATTCATTGAGACCAAAAGAAGCCAGGAGTAGGGAATGGAAAGCTAGTGTTTAATGAGTACAGAGCCTCAACTAGGGTAGATGAAAAAGTTCTGAAGATGGTTGGTGGTGAAGGCTGCACAAAAATGTGAATGCACCTAAGGCCATAGAACTATAACTTAAAATTTACCATTTTAACCATTTCCTATGTATATTATACAATTTTTGTAAAAACACTGTAACAGTGTTAAACTGGAATTTAACAACTGGTTATGTAAGAAAACATCCTAGTTCTTAAGAATTACATACTGAAGTATTAAAGGGGTAAAGGGACATGATATATATAACCCACTCTCAGTTAAGAATTCTAAGGGGGGAGGGTATAGCTCAAGTGTTAAAGTGCATGCCTAGCATGCACAAGGTCCTGGGTTCAATCCCCAGTACCTCCTCTAAAAATAAGTAAATAAATTAATTACCTACTGCCCCCAAAAAATAATTCTATAAATTTGAAATTTCAAAATAAAAAGATTTTTTTAAAACTCTGCTCAAAGGATAGTACTGAGAGGAAAAAATGCAAGTCACAGAATGGGAGAAGACAGGCGTGACATATATAGTTGATAAAGAACTTATATCCAGAATACACAAAAACTCCTATAAATTAGTAAGAAATAAAACCTCAATTTAAAATGGGCAAAATAGATGAACAGGCATGCCACAAAAGAAACATGAAAAGGCATGGAAATGTAGTATTAAACAATGAGAGATCACACCACATGCAGACTGGCATAATTAAATTATGTTAATAAAAATGCTGGCAAGGATGGAGAACAAGTGAAATTTTCACATACTACTAGCAGAAATGTAAATTGCTGCAACTTTTTCAGTAAACAGGCATTAGCTAGAAAAGCTAAGGATATGTATATCCTATGACTTAACATTGCCCCACCTTGAGAAACTCCAACATGTATGCACCCAGATACATGTGTAAGAATGCTTGTAACAGCATCATTTGCAATGTCAAAATCTTGAAACACAAACATCTGTCAACACAAGTATCTGTAGAAAGGATGAGGATATTAAAATAATTTACTACACAGCTATTAAAATGAACTACATTTACAAAAGAACAAGGATAAATCTTAAAAACATGAGTCATAGCCATGCACACACACAAAGTGCATATTATATGATTTCACTTAACATTAAAGGTCATTAACATTAACCACACTGTTTATCGAGGCATAATTAAAATTTTAAACTATAAAGCAAAGCAAATTTTAAAGTTACCATAAAAGTTGAGATAATAAATAATTCTAGGCAGGATGGATGGACACAACAGTGATTAGGAAGGAAGGGTAATGGTGGCAGGGCTCCAGGAGGGCCATTTCTTGATCTGGGTGTTATTTACATGGATTTGTACATTATAATAACCTCTAAACTTTACGTATTTTATGTTCTTCCCTGAGTATGCATTATATTAAATTTTAAATGTTTAAAATGTTTAACTGGGAGAGCAGGCAGAGACAGGTGCAGAAAGACCAGTTAGAAGGACCCTGCGATAATACAGGTGGGGTACTTGGGAGTAATAGCAGTGTAAGCAATAAGAAGTAGGCAGCAATTTGATTATATTTTAGATTATATCCTAAAGTAGAGCAACATGATTTCTGACTGATTAAACCTGGAACAGAACAGAAAAACATGAGTCAAAATAGTGTCAGTGTTTTTGACCTGAGCCACTGGATGGCTGGTCTTGCCATTTATTGAGATGGGGAAGGTTATAAGGAGCACTTTGAGAGGGGCTTGAGAGGGGCTCGTTAGAGATAAAATCTATTAAGTCTGAGAAACCCTTTCATGTCCAACTGGAAATATGAAAATGAATATATGTATGTATATGTATGACTGGGTCACTGTGCTGTACACCAGAAATGGACTCATTGTAACTGACAGTACTTCAATTAAAAAAAAAGTCCAAGTGGAAATGTTGATAGGGAACTGAACGTTTAATCCTGGTGTTCAGGAGAGTGTTCCATCCTAAAGAAACAGATTTGAGAGTTGTCAACACATACAGAGATGGATGTTTAATGTCTTAAGATAGGATATGCTCACTAGAGGAATGAGAGAATTGCCAGAAGAAAACCAAGAGAATATAGTACCCTCATGTTTCAAAGAAAAAGAAGTGCTAAGATAGGTCAAATGTTGCTAGAAGGTCAAGTAAGATAAGGACTGAGAAATGCCAACTGGATTTAGTGTACAATAATCACTGGTATCTTAGATACAAGAAAGTGATGTTATCATTGACCTTAAATAGAACAATATTCTTTTCATCATAAATTAATTATCAAAGTATATTTAGATCTACACCTCAATTCTGTTCTATTCCCCTGGTCTACTTATTTACAAATTGAACAAATAGTTTTAGTTATTTTAGCTTTATAACATATTTTCTCATCTGGCAGGGCTAATTCCTCGTTGCACTTCCTTCATGAAATGTTTATTCTTACATAGCAGTTTCTCCCCTAATATGAACTTCATACTTACCTTGTCTAGTCTTTCAAAAAAGAATCTGTTAGCATTTTTTTTTGCATTCTCATTAAACACATGGAGTATTTAAGATGTAGAATAGTTAAGGCTTAATGATTAGCTGCAGAAGACAAGAAAGAGAAGGTGGGGCCAATATGCATATATTAAAGTTCTTCAAGTGTAAGATGGAATTGCTTATGAAGAAAACAGAGAATTAAAAGAGCAAGCATACAAAAAGTCAACATATAGAAATCAGTTGCATTTCTATACACTATATACAAAATTATGAAATAAATTTAAAGCCCCAGCCCACTCACAATAGCATCAAACATAATAAAATACTTAGGTATAAATTTAACCAAGGAGGTGAAATATCTGTACTCTGAGAACTACAGGACTTGGATGAAAGACACTGAAGAAGACACAAATAACTGGGAAAAGATCCCAAGTTCATGGATAAAAATATTGTTAAAATGTCCATACTACCCAAAGCCACCTATAGATTCAATGCAACTCCTATCAAAACTCCAATGGCATTTTTGACAGAGGTAGGGGGAAAAAATCTAAAATCTGTATGGAACCATGAAAGACCCAGAAGAACAAAAGCAATACTGAGAAAAAAGAACAACACTGGAGGAACCACATTGTCTTATCTCAAACACTACTACAAAGCTACAGTGACCAAAACAATATGGCATGCTGTGAGTAGATTACAGAGGGGAATACAGAATCATAGTGAGGGATTTAAAAGTTGGGCAAGGGAGGAGGGTCCAGTTCAAGTGGTAGAGCACATGTTTAGCATATACAAGGTCCTGGGTTCAATCCCCAGTACCTCCTCCAAATATAAATAAATAAATAAACTTCCCCCTTATAAAACAAAGTAAAAAAAAAAGTTGGGCAAGATACCTGAACACATTACAGAACAGTGTTTGATTAATGGTAAGGGCTCAATATATGTTAACTATGACTATTTGTAGGGTGAAACACATTTCCACATTCCTGATATTTTCTTACATAAAGAAACAATATAGTGTCTCTTTCCATTCTGTGGGAGGAGGAATGACTTAATAGATTGGAGAGTTCTGTAGAAGAATTATGTGTTCTGTGCTTGTATCACCTCTCACACGCACATGCACATGCACGCACATGCGCGCGCACACACACACACACACTCTCTCAGCCTGCCTTCATTCCTGGATCCTTTTTTTCTCCTTAAGGAGATCTATGGTTTTCTAGTACTGACTGTATTTGGATGAATAAACTGATGAGTAAATTACATTTATACAACAGATCTAAAATGGTATTTGCCTATTGTTTTATCCATAATAAAAATGATACTTTAAAAGAATATTCATGGCATAAAAAGAGAAACACAGACCCATGGAACAGAGTCAAGAGCCCAGAAACAAACTCTCACATATACAATCAACTCATTTGACAAAGGAGCCAAGAACACTCAATGGGGAAAAGATAATCTCTTTGATAAATGGCAGTGGGAAAACTAGATAACTGCATGTAGAAAAATGAAATTGGACCTATATCTTATACTACTCACAGAAATTAACTCAAAATGGATTAAAGACTTAAAGACCTGAAACTGTAAACTTCTAGAAACAAACATATGGGAAACACTCCCTGACACTGGTCTTGGCAATAATTTTATGGATGACACCAAAAGCACAAGAAATAAAGGAAAAATTAATAAGTGGAGCTACATCAAACTAAAAAGCTTCTGCACAGCAAAAGAAACAATCAATAAAATGAAAAGGCAACTTAATGAATGGGAGAAAATATCTGCAAATCCTGTATCTGATAAGGGGTTAATATCCAAAATACATAGAGAACTCACACAACTCAACATCAAAAAAAAAAATCTGATTAAAAAGTAGGCAGGGGATCTCAAAAGACATAGTTCCAAAGAAAACACACACATGGTACATGAAAAGATGCTCAACATCACTCATCATCAGGGAAATGCAAATCAAAACCACAGTGAGGTTTTTAGCCTCACACTTGTCAGAATGGCTGTTACCAAAAACAACAAGTGTTAGTGAGGATGTGGAGAAAAGGGAACACTTGTGCACCGTTGGTAGGAATGTAAATTGATACAGCCACTGTGGAAAACAGTATAGAGGTTCCCCAAAAAATTAAAAATAGAACTACCATATGATCCAGTGGGATTCCACTTCTGGGTATATATACCAAGGAAATAAAATCAGGACCTCAAAGAGGTATCTGCACTCCTGTGTTCACTGCATTACTCACAATAGCCAAGATACGAAAACAACCTAAGTGTTCATCAACGGATGAGGAGATAAAGAAAATGTGACACACACATATACACACAGGATTATCCACTGGATATCCACAGTGATAAAGAAAATGTAATATAGACATACACACAGACACACACAGAGGAATATTATTTAGCCATGAGAAAGAAGGAAATGCTGCCACGTGCGACATGAATGGACCTGCAGGACATTTCACTTAGCATGTGCTAAGGAAGATAAGTCAGACAGAAAGAGACAAATACTGTACAATCTCACTTATATGTGGAATCTAAAAAAGTTTAACTCATAGAAAAAGAATGGTAATTACCAAGGACTGGGGTGGGGGCAGGATGGGGCGGGCAAGGGGAAAATAGAAGAGATGTTGGTTAAAAGATATCAACTTCCAGTTATAAGATGAATAAGTTCTGGGGACCTAAAGTACAGTATGGTGATTACAGTTAACAATATTGTATTATATACTTGAAAACTGCTAAGAGAGTAGATCTTAAATGTTCTCACCACAAAAAAGAAATGGTAATTATGTGAGGTGATGGAGGTGTTATTAGCTAACTAATGCTACTGGGGTTAACCATTGTGCAAAATGTAAGTATCAAACAACATGTACACTTTAAACTTACATCATGTTATATGTCAATTATTTCTCAATAAGACTGGGGAAATATTTTTAAAATAAGAAAAAATAGTTTAGAATAAATTCCAGCACGTCTGTAGGGAGAGGAAGAAAGGATGGCCTTAGCCAGAGGAATTGATCTCACACCTCCGTTCTTACCAGGCAGGAAGACAACTAGGGTAGCACCAGGTGGGTATGGTATATACAGATTTAGTGGGCAAAAGTTCAAGGAATTCTGCTTTGTGCAGGAAGTTAAGAGATGTGGTCACCTTTATTTTTAAAGTCCACCCTAAACTGAACATTGAACATTTAGGTTGCTTTCAATCTGTCACTAAGAATAGAAATAATTGAGTCAAGGGGTAAGCATTTTGCTAAATTTTAATTCCTTCTGTCAAACTACCCTTGAGAAAAATGTTTCCCCTTTATACTTCTATGTACATCATTTTCATATTGGATGACTCTCTCTCCTTTTTGCCCCCTAATCTGTCTTGACACTTATTGCTCATTATTGCTAAAAATATTTTAAGAGGAAAACATTGATTTTTCTGGGGGTGGGTGTAGCTCAAGTGGTCGAGCACATGGTTAGCATGCATGAGGTCCTGGGTTCAACCCCCAGTAACTCCTTTAAAAATAAACACCTGATTACCTCCCCCATCTCCTGCCAAAATAAAATAATTAAATAATATGATGATAAATCAATATTTTAAAAAAATTTTTTAAAAGACTGATTTTTTAAAATTTTTTTTTTCAGCTTTTTTTTTTTTGATGGGGGAGGTAATTAGGTTTATTTATTTTTGGAGCCGGTACCAGGGATTGAACCCAGCACCTCATGTATGCTGAGCATGCACTCCACAACTTGAGCTATACCCTCCTCCTGATTTTTTTTTTAATCAGGTTAAGGGTGATTACCCATGTATAATTTCAAACAGGCTTCATTTAAAAATAATTTTTAAAATATCATTCCATCTACATCATGTAATAAAGATATGTACCTCTCATAGTAAAGTTGGAGATCAGATTTATCATTACCATCATAGGCAAAATGTAATAAAATGGCAAACAGCGAAGAAATAAAGATGGGAATAAGAAATAACTTCCCAATAAAGCAGATTACAGAAAAACTTTCCATAAGAAACTTTTTGAATAGGATTCAGTAGTAAACAATCATCTGTCTGGGCAGAGGATAGAATCCTCTGATTACCTGAAACTCATTTGCAATTCAGATCAACAAGTAAAATCAACCACTAGTGAAGTACACAAGCACATTCTCCCACTGAGCACCGCTCCCTGCCCTGCCCAACCCCGAGCTACAGACTGCATGCAAACATTCTCTCCATCAAGACCTTATCATCACCACAATGAAAGCCAAGGAGAGTACAGATAACAAGCCAGATCTGGGTCAGGAATTATTGTTATTACAGGTGAGGTACTGCATAACACTCAAAGGGCAGGAGAACCAGGTCCTTCTTTCTTACCTTGACCATGAATGTGAAGTCTGTTAGGGCCGGGGAGTAGACAGCCCCACCAGCACATGGGCCCATGATCAGAGAAATCTGAGGGATGACTCCGGATGCCGTCACATTCCTCTGCCAAAAGAGAAAGGCAAAGGCATCTGGTTACAGAGGTGTTCAAGGCATTATCTGCAGAAAGACAGAGGCAACAATAAAAGTACATTTGGCTTTCAGTCACAGAAATTCTATCCTGGAGGCAAGAGACCTAATCTGTACAGTTTCTTTCTTTCAGAATTATATATGCAATTTCTCCCCATTACTGGTGGGATGGTTGGTATATTACTTTCTGGGGCAAATAACCTCTCCTCTTCTTGGCAAGGCAATAGTTTCCTGAAAGCTCCCTGACCAGGACATGAACTCAGAATTCTACCACTCTTACCCAAGCTCCAAACACACCTCAGGCCAGGACCCCTGTCTGCACAAAGGTGGATGGAAGGATTCGTGAAAACCTTAGGCGGAACGTACAGGGCCAACACTTGTCCTGAAGCCATGACCTCCACTTGGCGCCCCTTCACATCCTCCACAGAGGGTACCCAACAGTTATAAGGCAGGGCTAAGAGGCAAGTGCTACTTTACTCTAGTCTTTAATGTCTGCCCACCCTAGACAGGGCCCAATGGGCAAAAGAGAGGTATCAGGAGCTAGAAAGTCTCCACATAGACAATGGTGTTGTGAAGGGCCAAGCCTCAGGCCACTTTCTGGGAAAAATAAGATATCCCAGGGGGCAGGAGGGCCCAGGCAAGAAAAAAGCTCAATGACTCCTTGCCCAACCCCTAGCTTTTGTTCTCTCCTGAGCCCCATCAGCTTAAGAGAAGTATGTCCCTGTCCTGGCTCTAAGCCCAATTTCTATAATTCACAGGACATAGCTCAGGACAGTACAAAGGTGCATCTCCAGAGAGGATTCTGAGAAGACGGCACAGTAGGAAGCACCAGGCATCTGTCTCCCCACCTGGACAAAAATTGCACTGTCTGATGTAACTTTTTGGAACTCTGGAGCCTCCTGAGGGCTTGCAACTTCCAGGGGAAAGATTTGGAAGGCAACTTGTGGTTAATTTCAATTTCAGCTCCCAGCACTGTAGTAGCTACCCCTAACCAATCCCTACCCTCAGGCACCAGGCATGCATTTGTGCAAGTGTTCCTAGAGCAGCTTACACAAAGGTAGGTAAAAAGGAACTGGCCCCCCAAATATCAGGGATCTATGGTCTGAGGTCCAGTTGCTGATTCTGATCAGAAGTGCAGTTCGAGAGGTAGGCAGCCTCACCCTACAGGTCAACATTACTTACATTAGGGAAATGCAAATCAAAACCAGAATGAGATACCACATCATACACATTAAGATGGCTACTATCAAAAAAACAGAAAACAAGTAGTGTTGGTGACGATGTGGAGAAATTGTGTACACTATTGATAGAACTGTAAAACGGTACAGCCACTATGGAAAACAGCATGGTGGGTCCTCAAAAATTTAAAAATAGAATTACCACATGATCCAGAAATTCTACTTCTGGTGATATACCAAAAAGAATGGAAAACAGGGTCTCAGGGAGATAATTTGTAATCCACATTCATGGCATCATTACTCACAATAGCCAAAAAGTGGACTCATCCCAAATGCCCCTCAACAGATGAATGGATAAACAAAATGTGGTATGTACACACAATGGAATATTACGCAGCCTTAAAAAGGAAGGAAATCCTGTCACATGCTACAACACAGATGAAACTTGAGACATTATGTAATAGAAAAGAACAAATCTGACTCTATATTAAATCTGTTCCTTTAGCTTTAACCACTGTGCCCTGTTTTCTAGGCTTAGTCTTGCTAGCTATGCACTCACATAAAGATAAAAAGTTGCAGAATACAGAATACCATTTTTGTTGGAGGCTTTGCAGGAGCACCATGACCTGGCCCAAGTGGACAGCTGCAGGAACAAAGAATTCCTACACCAAGAAGTTTGCAATAACCAACCACATCCCCGCCCCCCCGTTTTTTGTATGAAAGGAGTATGTATTCTGACTGGGGAAGGATGGTTCTCCAAGACATTAGTCTGCCATCCTCTCGGACTGCCAGCTTTCCAAATAAAGTCACTATTCCTTGCCCCAACACCTTGTCTCCCAATTTACTGGCCTGTCGTGTGGTGAGCAGAACAAGTTTGGACTCAGTAACAGTTATCCTAAGTGAAATAAGCCAGTCACAAAACCACAAATATTGTACAATTTTACTTATGTGAGGTGTTTGATCAAAATTATAGAGACAAAGTAGAAAGGCGGTTACTAGGGGCTGGGGAGGTGATAACACAGAGTAATTTTGTAATTTTGTAATGGGTATAGAGTTTCAGTTTTGCAAGACAAAAAGTTATGGAGATGGATAATGTTGATAATGCACATAAAATTATGAATGTATTCAACACTACTGAACTATACATTGAAGAATGTTTTCGTAAGTTTTATGTGTATTTTAACAATTATTTTTAAAAGTTGAAAAAAATTGTCCACATTTTGCAAAAAAAAAAATCAAGGTGGAGGGGTAGGCTTCCAGCTTTGACAGAGTAAAGAGTTCAGAAAATACTCTCTTCAAAAACAACTATAAAATTGGACTAAACTGTCAAAAACAAACATTTCAGGGCTCTGAAACTGGATCAAACATTAACAAACTGCAGAGTGTTTATTAATGAAAAACTGCTAACTATGAGATAAGAACAGTAGGAGTCAATGGCATTCGTAACTAAGGCTGCCACTGTTGCCCACACGAGCTCAGGATGTCCTTCAGGGTGAAAGAAAACACCAGATGGTAATTCAAATCCACAAGAAGTAAGAACTCTAATGGTAAATATGTAGCTAAATCTACAATACTGCATAAATATAGTTCTCTTTTCTTGATAAGTCAAAAAACATGACTGCATAAAGCAAAAGTTGTAACACTTTGTAGCTGGGCTAATAATAACATCAGGTATGTAACAATAACAGCACAAAGAAAGCGGGATAAAAATGGAGCTATATTGGACCAAAGTTCCTATATTTTACCAGAATTAAGTCAGTATTAATTTGAAGTAGATTGATACATTTACATATTGTAACCCTTAGAGTAAACACTTAAAAAAAATCTCAAATGCAGTTTTAAAAAGTCAGAAATTGCAAAGGTACATTAAAAATATGTGTTTACCATAAAAGTTGAGTGATGTCACTATGATGGAACAGGAAGTTCTGAAGAATCCATCCCTCCAACAAAACAACTACTGAGCTGGCAGGAACTGTCTGAAGCAACTATTTTGGAACTCTGGAGTCTAGGGAAACATGTAGCTTCCAGGGGAGTATTTCCTGAAGAAGTAGGTAAATTTCCGTCCATTTCCACATTTAGCATAGTAGCTAACATCCCCCAGCCTACAACCCTGTGGCAGGCAGCCACAGAGATTGGCAGCGTGTATTCCAGTATGGGTAGCTGGTGTCAGGGTAGGCAAAAGGGCCCTGTCCTCCAAAAATCAAGATTGTGTGTTTTGAACAGGGGTTTTGATCATTGAGGATCAAGCACAGAGGCTGACCACTGTTTTAACCCTGGCAGGTTCAAGCAGTTTCCCAGGTGAGTTGGGATTTAAAGAGACAGTTCATCTCTTCTGCGAGCCAGACATTTAAGGAAATCTTCGTCAGGTCACAGGGTGACTGCGGAGACAATGGAACTAAAATTTCAGTGACCACACAATATGAAACGTGTTTTGCAAAAATAGGTTGGAAAAGTCACAGATAGATAGATCCAACCCCCAACAAGCAAAAATCAGCGATCTCTGAGAAGTGGGAGAATTAGATTTCCAACATTACCAAATGTAACTCAATTTCCAGTACTTGACCAAAAAACAATCACTGAACACACAAAGAAACAAGCTAGTATGGCCCAGTCACAGGGGAGAAAAAAGAATCTGACAAAAACCATCCCTGGGGAAGCCCAGACATTGGCATTATGAGTCAAATATGTTATATATGAACTGTCTTAAATGTGTTCAATGAGCTAAAGGAAATCACAGGAAAAAAACTAAAGGAAATCAGGAAAACGATGTCTGAACAAAATGAGAATGCCAGTAAAGAAATAAAAATAGAAAGAGAAATCAAGCAGAAACTCTGCAGTTGAAAAGTACAGTAACTGAAACGAAAAGCTGACTTAGAGGCGTTCAACAGCAGATTTCAGCAAGCAAGAGAACTTCAGAGAACTTGAAGACAAGACAACTGAAACTAACCACTCTGAAGAACAGAAAAAAAAACATCAGGAGCTGAGTGACCTCTGAGAAAGCATCAAATGTACCAACATACACATTATGAGACTATCAGGAGAAAAAGTGTGCTTCCGATGTAAAATAAGCATACAGGTCAACAGAAAATAATTGAGCCCACGAATAAGCCCTTACATAAATTTATGGTCATTTCATTTTCCTTCTACCGAAGTACCAAGACAGTCAAATGGGGAAAGTCATGTCAATAAATGGTGGTGGGATAGGATGTATTTAGACCCTGACCTCATAGCATACTCAAAAATTAACTCAGGAGGCAGCATATAGCTCAGTGGTAGAGTATGTGCTTGGCATGCACAAGGTCCTGGGTTCAATCCCCAGTACCTCCATTAAAAAAATAAATAAACCTAATTATATCCTCCCTCAAAAACAAACAAACAAATATTTTTATTTAACTCAAAAGATATCTCAGACCTAATATGAGAACCAAAACTTATAAAACTCCATGAGGGGAAAAAAAAAAAAACTCCAGATAAAATCTTCATGACTTTGGATTGGGCAGAATTCTTACAGATGACAACAGAAGCATGATCCACAAAAGAAAAACACTGATAAACTGGACTTCAAAATTTCAAACTTTTGCACTTCAAATGCTACCATTAATAAAAAGGCACAGACTGGGAAAAATATTTGTAAGTCATATATCATCCATTAGAGGACTTGTATCCACATTATATAAAGAGCTCTTATAAGTCAAAAACCCAATTACAAAATGAGCAAACAAACATTCCAGTAGATATACAAATGACTAACACATACATGAGAAGTTACTCAACAGGATTAGTCAGCAGGGAAATGCAAATTAACATTAAAGGAGGTACCACTACATACCACTGAAACAACCATAATGAAAAAGGCTGACAATACTAAGTGTCAACAAGCATATGGAGAACTTGAAACCCTCAATATGTGGCTTGTGGTTAATGTAAAACGGTAGCTACTTTGGGGAAAAAACTGGCAGTTTCTTAAAAAGTGATATATAAACTTATCATAGTGAAACTCAGCAGGAACCTGTGGGGTCCTCCCAAGTACAAAGGCCTTTCTGTGTGCCCCATTTCTTGTTTATAGGAAAAAAGTTTCAGCCTTCTAGGCCTTCCAAGAGTTTCAAAGAGCAGATTCAAACAGTTACTAATTAGGGGAATGAGGGAATGCAGAAAGAAAACAATGGTATGGCATGGAGACTGGGCCTGCTTCCTTTTGGAGGGGGATGTGCATAATGACTTGATACATATCTCTGAGTTCTTCTACTGGAACTAAGGCTCCCACCAAGTGGAGGATGGTAAATTCAGGCTGAGCACAATCCCTGGACCCCAGACTAGTTGGAACTAGAGGCTGATGACTGAGATTCCCAAAACACCACCTTATTACTCCACCACTAACCAATCAGAGGAAGGTCACACACCTGCCTACTCCCTCACCTTCCCCTTAAAAATTCTCCCCTGAAACCCAGCAGGGAGTTTAGGTCGTTTGAGCATGAGCTGCCCCATCCTCCTTCCTTGATCCTACAATAAACCTTTTTCTGATCCAAACTTATTTTGGTTTCTTTGGCCTCACTGTGCATGGGCGCAGGAACTTACGTTTGACAACAATTTGACCCCAACAATTCCACACTTAGGAATCTACTTAAGGGTTATGAAAATGTATGTCTGCTCGTTGAGTTATATACAAATGTTCATAGCATTATTTATGATAGTCAAAAAGTAGAAACAACCTAAATGTCCAACTAGTGGGTGGATTAACAAAATGAGGGATATCTAAATACTATTCAGCAATAAAAAATAAACCATTGATACATAGTACAATATGAATGAACCTCAGAAATATTATGTTCAGTGAAAAGATTCAAATGCAAAAACTGTAGAGGCAGAAAGCTGATCACTGGCTCCCTAGGGCTGGGTAGGAACTGACTGCAGGCAGGTAGGAGGGATCGTTTTGGAGGGAAAAACTCTAAGTCAGAGGTTATGGTGATAGTTGCACAACTCTAAATTTATTACAAATTGTTGAATTGTACACTTACAATGGGTGGATTTTATGGTTTATAAATTATACTTCAAGAAAGCTGTTTTTAAAATATCAAAGTCATGGAAGACAAAGAAAAACCAAGGAAATGCTCCAGATTAGAGATGAAAGAGATATGACAACTAAAGACAGCACTTAATCCTGGATTGGATGGGAGGAATAACTATAAAGGCCTTTATTTGGATATTTAATGAAATATGAATACAAACCATGAGTAAGAGTAATATTAATAAATCAATATTGTTTCCCAATTATTATACTGTTTATACAAGAGAATGTCCTTATTCTTGGAAGACATACAATGAAGGATTTAAGAGATAAAGGAGGCACAGTCTCCAATTTACTCTCAAATGTTTTGGAAAAATGCAACATGCAAGTATGTACATATGGAGAGAAAATGATACAGCAAATGAGCAACATGTAAATAACTGGTGAATGTGGGTAAAGGACACGTGGGAGTTCTTTTGCTCCCCAGTGGGTGATCCCCAGAGCTCAAGTTTAAAGATTAAAAAGTAGGTTTACGATCTACAAAGCGCCTTCTCAAGTAACATATGTGCTCCCACAACTAGCAGAGTATGGTACACAAAGTAAGTACACATTTTTCTGACCGATCACAAAATGCAGTGGCCGAAAATAAAACCCTCATAAGCCTGCAGCCCAGGGGAAGACCAGAGCAGCTGGCCTGATTAGAAACAATGTCTGCCTGTCTCTGTCCTTCCTTCCCTCCCCTCCCTGGAAAGGCTGATCTGTCCCTTTTCTCAAGTTTCTGTCTGGCAGTGTCTCTCCCTCACCCCAATCTCCCGTACTGTACTCTCACGACATACTTCCCACTTCACATATTTTCCACTTCAAGTAACACATTTAATTTTTGTTTCTTTTCACCTCTTTCTCGTCTAGTTTGCAAGAAAAAGCAGAGAGATACCAGAAATGATGTTCACCAAATGCTTCTGCATTGGTGGGATCTGGGGTTTCTTTCTTCTTTATATCACAGCTTGAAATTTGTGTAATGACCTTGCAGTGTTTTAACCAAAAAAGTACTGCTTTTTTTAAATTTCTCATTCTAGCAAATCAGCTCATTTGAACCTTTTACATTCCCTCTTCTTTGCTTTTAGAAAAAATAAAAATTTAAGTGATTTCTTTCCTGACTGATCTTTGTTTTCCCCTAAGGCCTCTATGAGAGAAAAAGGAAACCCTGCCCACCTAGTCTCTTGCCTTCATCCACCCTTCATGCCACCCTCAGCAACACAGAAGGAGCCACAGAACACAATGAGGAGAGATGAGGAGGCTCTGACCAGGACACTGCTTAGGGAACTAAGCCCTGCACTCTTTTATTCTCGGTTAAGGGTTTCTCACCAGAAAGATGTCTGCGTAACCAGCCAGAGACTCTACTCCCTCTTGGATCCGTGCGCCCCCAGAGTCATTCAGTCCAATCACTGGAGCCCCCACTGTCATGGCTTGGTCCATGATCTGAGACAGCAGAGAAATCTTTTGTGAGAAAACTGATCGTGCTATGAAAAGCAGCATTTACAAAGCACTACAGTGGTTTTCTGGAAAACTGTTCTGAGTGTACTTTTCAGAACTGGCTTCATTCCCCATGATGACTGGGTACCTTCATGGAAGACAGAGAATCAGATATTTTAAGTGCTGATTTGGGGAGGGATATAACTCAGTGGTAGAGCACATGCTTAGCATGCATAACGTCCTCAGTTCAATCCCCAGACCATCCACTGAAAATAAATAAATAAACATAATTACTTCCCATCCCAAAGAAAAAAAACAAAATGGAATAAAGTTAAATTTTTTTAAGAAAATTTTTAAAAAATAATAATAAAGTGCTGATTAAAGCTCCCCAAGACCCAAAACACTTTCCATTAGCAGGGGATAAGACTGTTTATGGAAATGATTTCTAGAGCCACAGGCCCAGGCTATATTTTTTCAGCACCCAGTTTTGTTCCCAATTACTCTTTTGAAAGAACTGAGGATAGCAGGCAGAATGGCAAAGTAGTACTTCTGTGAAAGTAAATGTGGATCTATCTATTAACCTGAGGTCAGGCTCAGGCCTTTTCCTTCTAATGAGAGATCTTCCTCCTTGGCAGCCTAAGATGAGCAACATTTCTAATAGTCCTTGAGGATTTACAAAGCACTTTCCCCTCCATTATCTCATTTAACCGTCATAACCATCAGAAGCCTGTCACATAAAACGCAGCAAAAGGAGAAAAATTAAGGTTTAGAAGTTAAGGGACTGGCCCCAGGTCTCAGGAGGAACGTATGATAGGACCATGCCTAGAAGCCAGGTATTCAACTCTACGTTTATTCTCTGAATATGATTTACACTTTCATTCGCCTCCAGATCCTCTCATCTCCAACAGTATTTTTTAAATACCGTCACCTGCACTGCTCTGTTAGCACCTGGACTCTCCACCTAGACCAGGGGTTCTTTACTTGGGGTCCTAAGAACCCTAAAAGGACTGTGAATAGATTTCAGGGAGTCCATGAACTTGGAGGGGAAATTTTACATCTTTATTTTTAACCACAGGAGTATTAGAAATACCTGTGACTTTGTCATCAATAAAAGCCACAGATTTTTGTCACATTAAAAGTTGCAGCATGCTTACTTTGAAATTACAGCATTTATCCACTGCTAAACCTTATTATTTAATGCATTAATTAGTAAGGACACATATATATTACAAATGTGATTTTTTAATATTTTTAATCCGTTGTAATCCTACATATTTTATTTTACGCACATATAAAAATGAGGGTCCAGGCTTCACCAGTCTGCCAGAGGGATCCATGGTAGAAAAAAAATGTTAAGAACTCCTGCTCTGGACTGAAGGCACCTTCAGGTCAGCTCCACATCTTGCACACCTCTGCCCCACCCCATGTATCCAGCTCAGTATTTTGTACCCCAACCCTATTCAACATGCACCGTGTGACTGATGAAAAGTACTGAGTTTGTTTTCAATATTAAATACTTACTTTGCAGATCTTTTGAGCATGTGCTCCTGACAGACTGCCTCCAAAAACTGTAAAATCCTAAGAAGAAAACAATCAAAAAAATAATATACAGTGACTAGTCAGAGAGGAACAGCCAGTAGGAGGAGAAAATGGAAAATTCATATATATAAAAGTTTTTAAACGATTTTCAGAAGTTTAAAAAATTAGGGGAAAGGTTTGACTTGTAAATTACTCCATAGAATGAGTAGTGAATAACATATCTTAAAGGGAGTTCGTGTATTGTGAAGAGCAAAAGACCTGGTCTTTGCTCTACAAAAATGACTTGCACCTGAGGAATGGAAAACTTCTCGTAGAATTAACCCAAAAAATCAGATTCTGTGGATGTCAAACAGGCATTTCTATCACTAGGAAATATTTGCTGTTTTGACAAGGGAGGTGAAAAAAGTGAATCAGTGCTTCCTCTTGCTTAAGGATTTTTATTACCTTCTGATGTAAAAAGCTTCTTATAGGAATGACCCCCTTCCTAAAACCCCCTCTAAAAGATAGTGGAGAATTAAAGACAGATTCAGCCCATGAGGACAAAAAAGGAAAACAGCAGCAGAAGAGAGACTGAATACAGGGAACTGAAACCACAAGAATATCTGATTTAGAGCAAATGGAAGCTTTTACACCTGCGGAGGGAGTGACCGCAGGACAGGACAATCCAGGAACAAGGAAAGTGCCACTGAAAAAACAGACTGATGGAAGTCTGTGTTAGGAGCAATTAGACCCCACAGGGCCTTTCCTTCACCTTGAGAGGAGAAAGTAGGTTTAATTTCTAAAGAAACTTAACCATTGGGACTCTGAACTCACAATCACCAGCCACGAAAGAAGGCAATGGTAAGGCTTAAACAGGTGAGGTTAAGAGCCTGTAAAGTGAATGATTAGCCAGCGCTGGCCCTGCCTCCTCCTTCCGTCCCCCCACCAACACACCTACAGCCAATTATCATAAAAAAGACAGACTGCTTCTCTGGAAAAAAGAAGTTCCCCCCAGAAAAAAAGCCTACAGATATTAACATTTGGGGGATCACTACAAAAAAAAGCTGGCTCATCACTCCTCCCCCTCAGTATCCTTCAAGGCCTATTTCACATGCCCCATTTTCTCTAAAGCTTTCCCCAAACAGAATGTGATCTTCCCTTGTCCTGAGAACTTCCCAGGAACCTCTCTCACCCTATCTGTGACTGCAGTCACTCCTGCTCTGCCCCATTCGGCTTACAAAATGATTGGCTTCTTCAGGGCAGGAAGTGTCTCAGTCATCTCCATCTCCACCTCCCCCTCACTTCCACCCAAACCCATGGGCATAAGAAGTGCTCAAAAGTATCAATTCAGTGAACTTTTGTAGCTGCTTGATAGTTAAGAGAACACAGTGCCCACAAAGCACAATAACCTTCTTTGTTCGGCTACCTTGTTAATGGTTCCTTCTGTACAATTTTTTGCCTAGCTCTCATAAATTACAAAAAGTAGAGACGATCCCTTCCAGTTATGCATTTGGCAGACTCATTTATAGCAGTTTTAAAACATTTCAAAGGTAATTCTGTTAGCAGACAAGCGCTGTCTAAATAAATTTAAAATTAATCTAGGAAGGGTATAGCTCAAGTAGTGGAGTACATGCCTAGCATGCACAAGGCGCTGGGTTCAATCCCCAGTACCTTCATTAAAAATAAATAAATTAAAAAACTAATTACCTCCAACTGCTGCCCCCTCCCAAAAAAGAACAGAACGTTTTATTAAAAAAAAGTAAAATTAATCAAGTATAATTATTTTAATGTCAAACAGAAAACATTTTAGGTTCCTAAACAAGCTGTATGCCTTTAAAATCTGTGAGAGAAACTAAATATTTAGAATTATATATATATATGTCCATCCCTTAGTGGGGGGGTAAAAATAAAACATGAAAGAGTATTAGTTTTCTATTGCTGCTGTAGTTACCACAAATTCAGTGGCTTGAGACAACACACATTCATTACCTTACATTTCTGTAAGTTAGAAGTCCTACATGGGTCTCACTGGGCTAAAATCAAAGTCAGCAGGGCTACGCTCCTTTGTGAAGGCTCCAGAGGAAAATCTGTTGTCTTATCTTTTCCACCTTCTAGAATCCTTCCCTCATGACCCCGTCCTCTACCTTCTAAGCCAAAACCGCAGGCCAACTGCTTCTCACACAGCATTAATGACCTCACCTTCTGCCTCTCTCTTCCACTTTTAAAGACCTTTGTGATTACACTGGGTCCACCTGGATAACCCAAACTAATCTATTTTAAGGTCAAGTGATTAGTAACATTAATTCCATCTGCAAACTTAATTCGCCTTTGCCAAGTAAAATAACATGTTCACGGGTTTCAGGGATTAGGACTTGGACATCTCTGGGGACCATTATTCTGCCTACCACATTCTCCTATGGCCTCTGTGTGAAGAAACTATCTGTCCTGATGGGGCCTAATAAAACTTGTTTGAATACCTTATGAAAGCCCAAAACTCAAAGGCTTATGATTTTAAGAATCAAACCCCCTCTGCCCCAGCTGCAACCACTGCACTCTCTCAGGGCCACACACGCTGCCCAAGACACGGCTGCCCTCCAGCCACACACCTAACCTGCCAAGGGAAATCTCACGCACTTGGAATAAACTCCTGGTTCCCGGGACTTCTTCTTTACTACTGCCCTGTGATCCTCCCCCAGACTAAGGATTCTTTCTCCCTTTAAAAAAAAAAACAAACAAACACATAGTGTAATACTCTGGACATGATGCACTGAAAAACAAAGTAATTCCCTCATCTGCCCCAACTACAGGCAAGTCTTTATTCCCAAGGACTATTTTCTTCTCACATATTTTGCTCCTGGGTCTACCTGCAAAGAAAGCTCAGCCAATTAGAGTAAGAAATACCTGACTGAAGACATAAACTAATCTTCCATTGATTCGACCCCGTCCGGTGACCACACTGTCTCCAGGAAACTACCAAAAAAATAGAAAAACAAAGGTTAAAAAACCCCAAATACTTCTCTTAATGAATTTGGTAATTAAGCCCCAATGAAAGACCCCTTCCTAAAAAAAAAAAAACCCACCCCAAATTCCTTAAAATTCAAAATGAATAAAGAACATGAAGGAACTTTCCACACACTTAGCTCTGCAACATCAAGCGCTGAGCTACAGCTTCATCAATAGGAGTGAAGAGCACTGTAGTTTTGGGCCTCATCCTCCTTCCTAAAAGCAGACCAATCAGGGGAACCTCTATGTCTGCTACTACCAAACGTGCACAGAAGGGAGAAGGACATATAAAGAAACATGGTGGGGGTGGGTACAGCTCAGTGGTAGAGTGCATGCTTAGCATGCATGAGGTCCTGGGTTCAATCCCCAGTACTTCCACTAAAAAAAAGAAAAGAAATATGGCAATTTCTACAAAGCCACACACCTCACCCCCAAACCTTAAAAAGGCAAATCTATCATTTGGCTTGGAATTCTGGCAGTCACTATGTGGCCCATAATGGCTCAAATGGAGCCAGCTAGTTAGGTGCCAAGGTTACAAATCTTTGGTCAGAGACCTGAAGAAAACTGACCAAAAGTGAGTCCAAAGAAGCCTGTGCAGCACAGAGAACATCCAACTGAAGAAATAAATGTCAGTGACTCTAACCTCCAAAACTCCAAGGCATAAAACTTAAAATATGTCAAAAGAGGAGAATGGTTAGTCTTTAGGGGTCCCTGGTGCCTAGGCAGACCAGGACACAATCAAAACACATTCCCAATTTCTCTTCCAAGTTTGTCATTCTATACCTACAAGAACTCTGAACCCACACCAGAGCCCCAGGAGCTGGGCCAGAGTCACCCTGTACAAGGTATGAACAGTCCACCCACATTCCTTCATCTGCAGACAAAGGTGAGTGGGGAACCTGGAGGCCCCAACAGTGCTTCTCAAGAGGTATTCTGAAAATTCCAGGGTCCCACACTTGAAAATTTTTCAATATATCCTTAGTCCCAGAAGAACTTCATTAGTCTAATAGGTAGACCAGCAGGATCGTAGCCGGTAAGTGCAATTTGAAGGCTCGCAGCACCATGTAAACAGATACCTTGTTCTTATCAGCAGCCATTCCAAAATCTGCACATCTGTGTTCCACAAACATGTCGCTCTCAATAAAACTGCCAGGGTCCAGCAAGAGACTGATCCGCTCTCTGGCAGTTAGCTTTCCCTAAAAGGCAACAAAAGTCACTTAGTGATGTCATCATAGACAAAGTCAGTAAGCAAGGAGTGTTCATGGGAGGGCCAGGAGGACCCGTGTGCCTGTGCCTCACGTGACAGCCTCTATTCCACCAGCTTGCCCAAGAGACAGGGGTTATCAGTAGAATTCAGCCAGTAAGGAAACCAGGCAGACTGGTGCTCCAGGAGCCACTAACTGTGGAAGGCAAACAAGGGAGTGGAAGGAAAAGGTGGAGAAAGGTGGGGGTAAGGAGAGCCTGATCCTGAAACAAGATAACTAGTTCCACAAACATTTACTGGAGACCTAAGGAGCAATAAAAGAAGAATGGAGAAGCAGGAGGTGGAAAAGTAAAGGAGGCTTTGTGAAGGGTCTGGGGCTACATCCCCAGATTCACAGGCTTCTTCCACTGAAGCTCACCTCACTAGGGTCCAGCCCCAAGGACACTTCCAGGACTACTTCCTGGTTTCTCTCCTGCCTCCTCCATGGACTTCTCCTGCTATCCTATATTAGTGGACCTGACACCTGATAGTGACTCCGTGATACAGAGACAACCCCACAGCAGGGAGTGGCTGAGTAGAAAAGAAGTGGGACAGAGTGCTAAAGAGCTCACTGGAGAGGAGTGAAAAAAATACTTCTTGGGGGAGGAGGGGGTTGGAGACCTCAAACCATCAAAAGCTTCCACTGCTTGGGCTCCCAAACCCTTAGACCAAGCCAAACATCTGGGCTCATTGCCTTGCCCCCTTCCCCAAGAAAAAAAAACACCTCAAATTCGCTGTATTTTCCTTTTAAGAAAGCAGCCAAAGCCAGTGAGGTCATTTTAAAACAAAAAGGCAATCCTATACACCATTGGATAAAACAACTTTTCAGGAAAGCAATTTGGCAATATATATCAGAGTGTTAAAAATATTCCTATCTTCTGACCCAGTAATTCCATTTCTGGGAATCTATCCTTTGGAAGTAGTCCAAAAATTGTGTAAAAGGGGGTGGTATGAGAGATTTAAACCAAGTCAGCCTCCTGACTAAGTCAGCTTTGGCAAAAGAAAGTTTCTGGAGGCTGCATCTAAACCCAATAGGATTTGCCTGGAAATGAGTGGGGATGATGTTCCAGGGAGGGACTGAGCAAGAAGGCCCCAAAAGAAAGCATGCAGGGAGCACTGACAGGCCTTTCCAGAGGATGATCTAAAGTTCCCTCACCACAGACCAAGCCACCCCAGGAGAGGGAGAAAGAGCACTCCCAGCACCACACACTATCAACCAAATTCACATCCCACTCCCAAATAACAAAAAAAGGCTGTTACCTTCAGGCCCTTGTCAAATGGGCATTTACAACATCTAAATCAATACTTCATTTTGACTTTAAAAAGGGCTAGTGCAAATCTCACTGAAGACCCCACCTGCCCCACGCTTGTGAGTTATGCCTCGGTGCCCTTCGCCTCTAAGAATTTCACTTCTGCACCTTCCAAATTGGTTATTTAACTCATCCAGTACATCAGTCCAGGCTCATACATGCCCCACACGCACTGAGCAAGCCCAGCTTCAAGTCCCAGGTCACAATCTGGGCCTCATTTTCTTCTGCTACTCAGTGGTCCACGCAGCATCTCTCTGATTCTCGCCTCAAAACGCAGGCGGTGGCTGGCAGTGCCTCAGCTGCTCAATCCGCCAAACAGCCAGAGTAACCTGAGCACTGGCAGAAAAAACGTCTGCTTCTAAAGCGTGCCTTTCCTACCCAGCAAGCAGGTCGATGCACGCTGAGACCCTAAAGAGATTCAGCTGGCATTCTGAGGGCAGAGTTTCCACAAGTTCCCTGCGCACACCACACCCACCCCACGTTAACCTGAGTCTGCCTATTTAACCTCCCCTGCCAAATGCCTCGATTTTCTTGTTTCCATAATGGAGCGAGAACCTATCACCCATCTTTCAAGAGACATAAGAACAAGATTTTTTTTCTTTAATTAAGGGCCTATCATTATTTCACTATCTTATCTAGTCATACTGTGAGAGGAGAATCATTACTATCTTCTATTTAGAACAAACTGACTCCTAGAGAGTAACTTGTACAAAAGTTTATAGCTTTTAACTGGTGAGCCGCTGGAGCCTAGCCAGGCACGTCTAAAATTCCAAAGGGAAAGCAGAGCGTGACAAAGCACAATGCTGCTTGTCCTGGTTTTACCTGCCTCTTGGTGAAAGGCAACAGGTTCACAAGGTGAACATCCTCGGGCCCGCCCCGCCCTTCGCGGCATCGCGCTGATTGGCTGGGAGGGGAGCCGCGCACGCTATGATAGGTCCGGAACGCCGGGGCGGGCTCCCCTGGGCCCCCTCAGGACTCACTCGCTTATGCTGCGCATCGATGCGGCGCTGGCCTCCTCCCAGCAGTGCGGCTTGGCGCTTGTTCTCGATACGCTCGTTAACCGAGACAGGCTGGGTGCATAGGCTGCGCACTGCGGCGCGGAGACCTCTCACTGCAAATCTGAGCCTGGCTCCGGCCGCCGCCACCAGTACTGCCGCCGCCATTTTCGCTCTGCCTGTTTGCCCGCAGCCGGCGCACTTAAGTGCGCATGTGCGTCAAGTGGGCTCGGCGGAATCTGCGCCTGCGCAGCGTCGGGACGTAGGGAACCTGTGTGTGGGCTGGAATGCTCAGCGCGCTGAGGAAGACCGGAGAGTTCGAGACCCAGGGCTGCGCTAGAGCATCACCTTGAGACGTGTGAGCCCAGCCAGCCGATACTGTGCCCGCCAGGCTGCACAGAAGAGGGGCTTAGTTGCTTTTCTCTGGCTACCTCCACCCCTAGTTTTTGTCTTCCCACTTCCTCCAGAAAATGAATAGAAGAGTTAACCAACATTTACTGAACGTTGTTCCCAGTGTTGCTTTAAGCATTTACCTATATTAGCTTATTATCTGATTTCATAGAGGAGGCAAATGAAGCACAGAAAGCTAGAGTGGTTTGATCCGGCCGAGACCAAATATGTGGTAGAATGAGGATTATCACGGAAATGTATTATGTGCTGCTCACTGAACACAGTAATTCGTCGTCACCTAAAAGCGAATTGGAAATGAAAACTTTTCAGATTCTCAAAGTCCACCCCAAATCTACTAAATCAGAAATATCTGAGGATGCGGCCAGCGATCTATTTCAACAGATGGTCCCTAGGTGATTTTGATGCTTGCTAGACTTTGAGAACCACTGCCTTAAGGATTTAGAACTGAACTGTTGGGAGCTTGTCCATCTGTTTCCCAGGAACAGGCAGCTCTTCGAAGCAAAGAACAAAGTGCGTCTTTCACATTCTTAGCCACAGAAAATTGTAGCTAACTGTTTGATTATTAACCCCTCCAAGCTCCATCTCACAGCCAGGGCCTTGATAAAGTCCAAGATTCTAACATTAATACAATTAAATTAAGCAAACATTCTTGAGCAGCTACTGTGTGCGAAAAACTAACCACCAGCACTTACTACCTTTCATGGAGTAGTAAAGGGAAGCTGAGGGTCTAAGGCTTGAAGTAATATGGTTGGACAAAGCACACCTGCATCTCTTTGACTCATGATAGATGCTCTTGGCCCGGCATTTGAGTCCCTGCTTTAAGGACCTCACCAACCTAGAGAGTTAGACAAAGGACTGGCCTGGTGGCACAGGGGAGAATTGGGGCAAACTGAGTGTGTCAAGGAGAGTATCTCTGAGAAGGTAACAGCATACCAGAGAAGAGGAGTAATGGCATATTCAGATTCACAGACATGGTTGTGTCCCCAGCTTGTGGGAGAATTGTGGTAAATGAGCCTAGAAAGCAGTTAAGGAGTTACAGTGTGAAGAATTTTGCCATATTCAGATATTAGGACTTTATTTGGGCTGGGGGCAGTGGGACTCCTTTGTCCTAAAGTGTTTGCATGTCCATCTCCTGTGGCACAGCTCGTCCTGTATTAATGTTGTTTAGCTCTCTTCCCAGTTAGATTCCCAGGCCAGAGGGCAGGGACCATGACTGGCTTGCTCACCACTGTGGCCCCTGCTCTTGGAACAAGGTGCAATACATAGGAGGCCTTCAGAAGGTATTTGTGGAATTGAATTGAGCCAGCAAATAGACAATTGCATGTGGCCCAAGAGCCTAGGGTGGGTGGGAGGAGGGGGAGGATTGAACTACTTGGTAATTGCTCTCTAGAATCCTCCCATGCTCTGGGCTATTTTCCTGCCCCTAGTCCTCCTCACTGGGTTACTATGTTTGAGTTATTTCTCCAGTTTGGGACAGTAGTCACCCCAATCTGGTCATTCTACCCTTGTCAGTGACCACTGTCAGCAGAAACGGGTGAAATGGAAGGAAGGGGTAAATTTGGAAGGGTTCACGCATATTTGAGAGAGTGTGTTAGTCTGGGTCTTCAGAGAAGCAGTGGCCAAGAGGGGAATTAAATATTTAAGAAATCAATTAGGGGACTACCTGTGAGAGAAAATGGGGCAGCATCTGGGAGAGGTATCAATCAGGTTGCAGTGCAAGTCTGACACCCCCCAATCAAGGAGAACGAGAAGGAAGAAAGGTAACTAGGAGCTTTTTAGATTACTGTGCAATTTTAAGGAAAGTTCAGCCAGGCTGTCCAGGAGGCCTTGAGCCAAAGTATTCCTGCCCCTGTTTGGCTGGGAGCAGCCCATGAGAGGTGTGACCTCAGTGCAAAATTCAGCAAATTCAGAACAATAGCTGGGGCTCTCAGTCAATTACACTTGATGCAGTCCAGGTGTCTTCTCACCTTAGAGTTATGCGTGGGTGGGAGTAAAGGGTGTTAGACGAAATTTTGGAGAGCAGCTGCCATCCACGTGGGGAAAGACAATTTTTTAAATGTTTCTTGTGCATTATGAATGCACTTCTCCCTTAGCGTTTTATTTTTAAAAAACGAAGAAAAAAATGCAATACTTTATTTTTATTGAAGTATAGTCAGTTTACAATGTGTCAATTTCTGGTGTAAAGCATAATGTTTCAGTCATACATGTACATACATATATTCCTTTTCATATTCTTTTTCATTATAAGTAACTACAAGATATTGAATATAGTTTCCTGTGCTGTACAGTTGGACCTTGTTGTATATCTATTTTATGTACAGTAGTTGGTATCTGCAAATCCAAACTCCCAATTTATCCCTCCACCCTTACCTTTCCCCACTGGTAACCATAAGTTTATTTTCTATGCCTGAGTTCGTTTCTGTTTTGTAAATAAGTTTATTTGTGTCATTTTTTAAGATTCCACATATAAGTGGTATTACATGGTATTTTTCTTTCTCTTTCTGGCTTACTGCACTTAGAATGACATTCTCCAGGTCTACCCATGTTGTTGTAAATGGCATTATTTTGTTATTTTTTATGGCTGAATAGTATTCCATTGTATAAATATGCCACAACTTCTTTATCCAGTCATCTGTCGAGGGACATTTAGGTTGTTTCCATGTCTTGGCTTTATTGTAAATTGTGCTGCTATGAACATTGGGGTGCATATATCTTTTCAAATTAGAGTTTCTTCTGGATATATGCCCAAGAGTGGGATTGCTGGACCATATGGTAAGTCTAGTTTATTAAGAAATCTCCATACTGTTTTCCATAATGGCTGCACCTAACTACATTCCTTTCAACTCTGTAGGAAGGTTCCCTTTTCTCCACAGCCTCTCCAGCATTTGTCATTTGTGGACTTTCGAATGATGGCCATTCTGACTGGTGTGAGGTGATACCTCATTGTAGTTTTGATTTGCATTTCTCTGATAATCAGCGATGTTGAGCATTTTTTCATGTGCCTATTGGCCATTTGCATGTCTTCGTCAGAGAAATAAAAATACAGTACTTTTTAGGAGGAGGGTATAGCTCAGTGGTAGAGTGCATAAGGTCCTGGGTTCAATCCTCCATACCTCCATAATCAATCAGTCAATCAGTCAATCAAATTATCTCCCCAACAAAAATAAATGACTAAAAAAAAATGCAGTACTTTAAATTCACTTTTTTTTCCCCCCTGAAATAGTGTTTCTTTGACTGTTGAGATTGGGTCACAAGAGCCCTGGTTTAAATTCCAGTTAAAATTGTTATAAAGACATGGAGCCTGGTTTTCCTCAGACCACATATATTTTCCAAGCCATCTTGGAAAATCCTCAATTTTTCTGTCTCCTTGGGCTCTGTGAGACATGAGCAGAATTGGCCTGTCCTTTTTTCCAGAGGCATTTCCAGATATTCTTCCACCCTTGCTGAGCTCCTCTTCCTTCAAAGTTTTTGCCATATGTTGTATCACCTTTCAGCATTCCCTGACCTCCTCTCCCTTCTCCTGTGATGTCCATGTCAGGCTCACTTTTTCCCTCTTCCCTGCTGTATTAGTCAGGGTTAGGCTTCTCCAAAGAAACAGAATGATCAGGATAGATAAATAGATAGGATATTGATTTATTAATTATAAGAATTGGGTCACATGGTTATGGAGGCTGAGAAGTCCCAGTATCTGCTGTCTGCATCCAAATTGAAAAGGAAGAGTCATTATTTGCAGATAAAATATTACATACAGAAAACACTAAAGACGTTCAAAAAGACGTTAGAACTAATAAATGAATTTATTAATTGCAGGATACAAAATCAATCTGCAAAATCTGTTTCATTTCTTTAAGCTAATAGCAAACTATCAGAAAGTGAAATTAAGGAACAATCTCATTCACAATTGCCTCAAAAAGAATAAAATACCTAGGAATAAATTTAACCAAGGAGGTGAAAGACCTGTACATTGAAAATAATAAGAGATTAATGAAGGAAATTGAAGAATACACAAATAGATGGAAAGACATTCCATGCTCATAGACTGGAAGACTTAATATTGTTAAAATGTCTGTGCTACCTAAAGCAATCTTGAGATTCAGTGCAATCTCCATTGAAATTTCCATGGCATTTTTCACAGAAATAGAACAAAACCATGAACCACGAAAAGACCCCAGATAACCAAAGCAATCTTGAGAAAGAAGGACACAGCTGGAGACATCATTCTCCTAATTTCAAACTTTATTAAACTATAGTAATCAAACAGTATAGTATTGGCCCCAAAGCAGATACATAGATCAATGGAACAGAATCAGAAGCCAAGAAATAAACCCATGCATATATGGCCAATTAAATAAAGGAGCCAAAAGTATACAATGAAGAAAGAACAATCTCAATAGTGTTGGGGAAACTGGACAGTCACATGAAAAAGAATGAAACTAGGCCATTATCTTACACCATGCACAAAAATTAACTCAAAATGGATTAAAGACCTGAATGTAAGAACTGAAACCATAATACTCCTTTTAGAAAACAGACACAGTAAGCTCCTTGATGTTGATCTTGGCGATGATTTTTTGTATTTGACACCAAATGCAAAGGCAGCAAAAGCAAAAAGCAGGTGGGGCTGCATCAAACTAAAAAGCTTATACACAGCAAAGGGAACCACTGACAAAATGAAAAGGCAACCTACCAAATGGGAGAAAATATTTGCAAATCATACATCTGGTAAGAGGTTAATATCCAAAGTATATGAAGAACTCATACAACTTGGTAGCAAAAAACAGAAAATAAAAAATAAAAAGTGAGCAGAAGATCTGAATAGAAATTTTTCCAAAGAAGACATT